GGTATGCCAGAGTTTTGTTACTGCCTCCTCCGATCATTTTACTTTGTCCCAGACTTTTTCATTTCTAATGCAGCTCAGGGATGAGCCTTATCTAGAGTTACAAAGTATTGTGTAAAAACAAAGGAAAAAAAAGTTCTGGAATTGGACTGGAAAATGCTATACTTGCTACAAATGGTTATTTTATAATGTGAACCTAATCAATTGGTTCAGATTAGCTCTGATCACAATGGACAAGTAGGGGACAACTAGTCACTTCTGATTTTGTGCTTTCAAGGAACGAATTCAACTCTCACCAGTACCCTATATGAGTACTCAGGATTATAAAATAAGTACTCAGGATTATAAAATAAGTCTCATTCTCAGTATGCGATCTGTTCACGGTTTATGGAGCAAGACACCTAAAAATTAAAAATGAATTAGAAAGAGCTGGGAAAGATATCAAAGCATTCCTGCGGGGCAGGAAGGGGAATCCAGTCACTTTCCACACATGCTGCAACCACTTCATTCCATCGGTTTGCTGCCCCATTCTGAATCCCAAATTACATCCACAGAATTATGACCATTCTTCAAATTCCAGGTTAAATGCCATTTTTCAACAAACTAGCTCCTAATCCTAAAAGTTAGAACTTATCTTTCCAATCAGGTGCTTCTGTAACACACATTTTACATCTTGTTTCAATATTTACTCAATTAGTTTAAAAATATGTATAGTGAAGGTATACATACACACATACGCAAACACATGTGTTGCCATCTGACTCATCTTTGGGATGCCCAAAGGGAAGAGAATGGGGTTTTTCTATTGATTTAGAAAAACCAGTGCACATTGTCTTTTAAAATACAAAAGTGAGTAGACCCTTCTTCATGCTGGCAATTATAAATCATTAGCACATGACTCAAAAATGCATTTTGAAAAGGTACAAAAGAAATGACATTTTGGTCAAAAATGACTGTATTGATCCAATTATTCATTCTCTTTATATGTTTTTGGGGGGACAGCAAATTATAAATAAATAAACTTATTTATTTATAAATTAGTAAAAAAGTAATCTCGGAAAGCACTACACTGCACTGTCCTCCAGTTGTTCATAGATTTTCTTGAGCGGGCACCAGTAACGTCTCCATTGTGAGACTTTGTTGTCACTGTTTTTGGCATATCGAATATGTCACGGGGAGCTTGCAAGGCTTTGCCTTGCGGGCGGAATACTCTCGGTAGCTTGCTGGGCTCTCCAAGAGGGGCGGAGGAATTGAATCCAGGTCAGCCTCATGCAAGGCAAATGCCCTACCCACTATGTTATCGCTCTGGCCCCATCCCGGAAAGACTATGCCTTATTTAACACCTTACTTATGAATAAGAAAACTAATCCCAAGAAATTCCAATACTGGTTTACAACCAACAACGTTAGTTTCAAAATTCAGGCCCCTTTCAAATAATTTAGCTTTTAATTTTTTTTTACAAAAATTTTACAAATTTTTTTTTTTACAAAAAAACCTTTTACAAAAGGGGTAGCTCAAGGGCTGGAGTATATGCTCTGTGACAATAGCCATACCATATGGTCCTTGGACCACTACATGGAGTGACTTCTAAGTACAGCGCCTTGAATAGCCCCTCGGTATCGCTGGACTTTCTTCCCACCACACAATAAAGAACAGAAAAAGGCTGAAAAAGCACTGATAACAAATGAATAAAACTAGAATGCAGAGAAATAGCATTCTTTAAAAATAGAGCTATTTTTCTATAATGAATATATTCTAGAATTTTTGCATATTACACTTTTCTAAGAGAAGTTAAAATGTTTATACGGGGGTTATACAGCAATAGTATAGCAGGTGGGGTTCTTTCCTTCCCTGTGGTTGGCCCCAGTTTGATGCTCAGCACCCCATATGGTCCCCTGGGCCCCAACAGGAGTGACCCCTGAGAGCAGGCCCAGAATGAAGCACCGCTGGGTGTGGCCCAAGCCCAAAAGCAAATAAACTGTTTCTAGAGTTTACAGCTTTCATTTTTAAACCTTGCTTTTTTAGTTTTACAGGTACTTCACAATAGGATTTTCAATGATTCTTCTAATGTAGTCGGCAATGAGAACTGTTCTGATGTTCTCCCCCAAGATAGTCCATATGTTTGGGTGACACAGATCATTAACAGGTGTTCTTAACAGTTGTCGAAATAAAATAAAACACCAAGGCCCCGTGGGGAGGGACACATTCACACATGTTCCTTCCCATCACGACTCAGGCAGGTGCAGCAGATGTATTCGGATCTGACACTGTATCCCATCCCAGGTCTGCTCATATTGTCAGAACCCTGTCTTTTCCCTGGCTTTCCTGTGTCACTGTGGTTCCACCCCCATCCTGACAATCTAACTCAATCTGACATGTGAGCACACGTATGTGAAATAGGCCTGAACACCAATTTCAATTTAATTCGAATTTAAGATGCACTGGATTCCAATTCTAAACAGCATGCTTATATCAATGATTGTAAGCATGCGTATCTCCATCCACCTTTCCTCAGTGATGATACACAATGACTCAGATAAAGACCATTTAAGTTTAAAAATTCTTGTACTTGCTGCTGCAGAGGATGGCCGGGGAAAACTGGCCTCCATATGCCGTTTTAAATAAAATTAAGATTAAAAAAAAAGAAACTGGGTTTTCAGAGACACCCCTCCTCCCCTCTCCGACACTGTACTTCTCAGCATCCCAGCCGAGGTAAAAGGGCAGTAATGGAATTCAGAACCAGTGACAAATGGGCTTAATATGAGTTCTGATGACTATTGGTCTGATCTTGAGAAAATGACTTAACTACTCTGAACAATAATTTCATTTCCAAAGTGATGATGTTAATGCCTATCTCAGAGGTAAAAAGATGTGAAGAACTGCATGACAATGGGTGCTGCATGGCTTGGCTTGCATGATGCTCAGTAAATAATCGCTGTTCAGAGGAAGGGATGGAGGGAAGAGGAAGAGCGGAAGAGGGTAGGAAGATGGTGGTCTCCACTGCCCAATTGCCTTTTGTATTTTGGAATTTCTCAGCAGAAACTGATAAACCTTTACCACTGGGGAGTAATAAGCTTGAGGTAAGGGAAAGAGGATGGGGGTAGAAGGGAAGGAGAGGAGTAGGGAGATGGGGTTCTAACTGACGGACACTTAGTATGTGAATTTTCTATCTTGAGCTTGTGTAGACAGACACCCAGTTCTCTTCTGCTACTAGGAAAGAAGACGTTTATAATAATGAATTGAGCTCTTTTAGAGGAGGTCATTATCTCTAATTTCTCTGCTTGGAAGATAGAGATTTCATAAAGCCAGGGTGAACAAATTCCTGCAGTCCCCATGGCGGTTAATCAGTATCCAGTTACAGTAGCACATCTGACGGCTGGCTCCCCCTGTCACTTTTAGTAATTGTGAGACACCCTGTAAACTGCGGAACAAATGCCTGGCGCCTTTCCGGAGTCAGGGAGTCAGAGTTCAGAGCCAAGCCAGCAGCAAGTAGAGCTGCTTCTGTGGTTTTAGACATCCAACGTACAACAGGAAGGAGGAAGCCTTAACCTACCCCTGGACATGCCTTGAATCAGAGTCATTTACAGTCGGCCTGACAGGCATGCCACTCTGTTTGCAAACACACACTGTCTGCCATGCCACATGACAAAACAATACCACGGCAAAGCCTGAAACAAATGACTAATGTTCCAAGAGGCCCGTGTGTCATTTAGGTGATGATTCCACAGGCACCAATTAAACATGGAAAAGAGCTGTTGTGAGACATGACCATCTGGTGTTTCCAAGGAGCCGTAGTCAATGGCTGGTAAAACACAAGTTATCAGAACTATAAAGGGATTTAGCAGCCCTCTCGGTGCTCAGAAGCCCTAAGAGCCCAGGACAATGAACCCGCAGGACCTCTGGTGGAAGAAAAGGCTGCATCTGCAGCCAAGACTGCTCATCTGGCGTAGAAAGCAAAGCAATTGCCTGAGGTTATCTTTTCAGCCACAAAAAGGCTAGCTGTTCTCTGGGATGGCTATTATAAGTTCAGCTGTTGCACTGAGAATGGACATCAGTTATGTCTCCAGGTGAGGGAGAGGATTGGCAGCAGTCCTTTCCTGCTCCTAGAAATTCTATCCAAATCATCAACATCTAGAACTCTGGCTATAGCACATTAGGCCAAGAATATTACAGTCCAAATGCCTTTCCCTAGAAATCAGACTTTTGAGCGGACAGAAGAGAACACACTTAGCAAATACAACGAGAATGATCACAACGTATAAAACTCCTTAGCAGACAGCCAGTAGCTGGGGTTAGATGTGCCTTGCAAAATTGGGGTTCTAGTTGGTTTGGAAGACACTTGTGTATATATAGACAATCTTCAAACACCACCACCTCATCACACCTAATGACTGCCTGTGAGGAGAGCATGTATCCTCTATTTCTGGTTTTCCCAACAACAGAACTATGTCTTTCTACTCGATCCCGGTTCTGAACCAATTTCTAATGCGATGTGTCTTCCTTTCACCAATATGCAAGGTCAGACAAATGAGAAAGAAAATACTCATGCCTCTGATTTTCATCCAGATCTCCCATTGCTAACAACTTTCATTCATTGTCCTTAAAAAAGAAAAGATCTTTTCTTTTTATGCGATTCAATAAACAGTGCCCTCCCCTTCCCCTTCCCTCATTCTTAGCGTGAGGCTATCCAGAAACAACAAAAGAAAAAAAGCAACCAACAACCAGTCAAACAATAAACCGGTGGCTTCCATTCTCCAGAGTCCCTTCTGCCAATGAGTCACGGGAGCCTCTTTAGAAGCGGCAGCTGGAGAGTAAAGTTTTTGGTTTGGACACTGAACACACACACACACACACACACACACACGCACACACTGAGTTTTAGCTAAGGCCACTGACTTTTTTTTTTTTTTTCTCAGCACACTAGAAAAAGCAACACAACCCATTCCCCAAGACCAAGACGGCAGAATTCAACACAGTGGGATGGAGTAGGAAGAGAAGAATACCTGGGATCGCCAGATTGGATAGGGGGACGTGGTGGAGATGAGGGGGCAGCGAGGCCATCCAGTCGGCGTTGCAGACCTCCGCTGACGTCTTGGTCCCGCTGGGGTGGGGGGAGCAGATGGTCCCCATCCTGAGTTTGCTCCTGACCGTCCTAACCGCTAGCATCCCTCGGTGCCGGTCCACGCACTACCCGCCCAGACTCAGCCCTGCGCCTCCCGCTCCGTGCTCATCCCGGGCGCGGATCGGAATCGCTCGCCAGTCCAGGGCCACCTTGGCCACGCCAGTCCGGCCCCCGGGAGCGCGGACTCGAGGGGGCTTCCCCGGCCGCGCACACCCGCGGTCCCCGCCCTCTGCAGCGGCCCCGCCGCCGCTCCGCTCCCGGAACCGGCTCGGGCCCGGGCTGCGTCCAACTTCTCAGGCTCCGGGTGGGACGCGGACACGGGCGAGGCCCCTGGGGGCCCCACGTCACCCCAACTGACAGCCGGACGGCGCGGCCACGCCCGGGGCCCCCGGTCCGACAGGTGCCCGCCCCGCCCGCAGGCCAGCCGGGGGATCTGGGCGCACGTGGGCGGCCGGCCCTGTGCTCCGAGGGAGGTGCCCGGGCCCGCCCGCAGCCGGCCCCCCGCCTTGCAGACGCCCGTGGCCCCGCGGCGTCCCGGGGGCGCTCAGAGGTGTGACCGGCGGCGCCCCGACTCCCGCCGCTCCGCCCCGCCCCGCACTGCCGGGCAGATCGGCCGGCCCAGGCGGCCGCTGATTGGCCGCCGGCGGGCTGCGCTGCGATTGGTCCGCGCCCTCCCGGGCCGCCCCGCCCCGCGGCTCCCGCCCCGCCCCCCGCGTTCCCGAGCTGGACCCGCGCGCGCGCGCGCCGCCGCCGCCGCCGCCGCAGTGACGCTCCGGCTGAGACCCTCCCTCCCAGGATCTTGGAGCACTCTTGCAGCTTGCAGGTTTTCCCTGCAGCCTGCGCTCCCGTGTTTAGCAAACGCTTTTTTGTTGTTGTTTTCCCTAGTCTGTCTGTCTGTCTCTGCCTCTCTGTCTCTGTGTCTGTGTCTGTCTGTCTGTCTGTCTGTCTCTGCCTCTGTCTCTGTCTCTCTTTCTCTCCAACAATCAAAGCGACTGAGAACTTTGGTGTGTCTTTATCTCTACAGCATTAAGGTCGGTTTGGGGTTCAGCCGTGAACCATGGAGCCATTACATAATTAAGATCCATCTACACCCCTGCTTCGCAGGTTTGACTGTCATTTACATGTTTATCGTGATGTTTTCACATTCTTATTACCCTGTCGTTTGGAGCGTTTTTTTTGTTTGTTTGTTTGTTTGTTTTCTCTAGACATCATCTCGGCTGCATGCTGCCTCCCTTTAACAGCAAAAGCTAAACTGTTCTCTTCAAGGCTCGACTTTGCATTCATTACTTCATTTCAGGCTGCTTCTCAGTCTTTGGAATTTCCTAGTATTCGTAAGAGCTCCCCGTTTCCCATCCATCTTCCTCCCCTTCGCCCCCCCCCCCCGCCCCCAGAGTATCTCTTGATTAATAAAAGAAAGTGATCAGTATTCATCATGCATTTCACGATGGTTAAAGGGAACTTCAGTGCAGTGCTCTTTCCCCCCCAACTGCATCTCAGGATATTGGGAATACTGCCATCCAGGTATCTGAATCAATAACCCCCCCAGCCACCACCCCCTTGGAAAAATCGCACTTACAAAATATCCTAAGGATTTGTTTTTGAAAAAACACCTTCTTGAAACTTTCCCTGGAACTTAAAGTTTTTAAATTCCTGAACGCAAAACTTCATGCAAGTTGCCTAAAGCAAACAAAATGTGTTCTTAAGCGCCACTGTGGAATGTTGATTCCTGTTTCCCTCCCATCCCCTCTTGTTTTCCCACACACATCTTTCCATCTCTTAATGGAAGGTACAAGTGTATTAAGAAAGAATGAAACTTCAGACTTAGAGATATCATCAAGTGTGAGAAAACAAAGTGAGATCACTTTAAAATAAGATATTGGTTTGTGTGTGTATGAGAGCGAGGGGGGTGGTCTAAGAAATACATGGTACAGTGGAGAAAACACTCACTTTGCACAGGGCCAGCCAGGGCTTGAACCCATCCCAACACCCAGCACCCACTATGGTCCGCAGAGTGTGAGGAGAAGCAACATCCCTGAGTGCAGTGCCTGGAGTAAAGCCTGAGAATCACAGGATGTGGTCCTCAAACAAGAAATAAATAAAATTAAACATTCGGGAAGCTCTATTTTTAATAAGAGAAACTTCAAATTTGTACTGAACAAAGCAACAGCCCCACCATCAGTAAATGATTGGTATGATTCTGGGAACCAAGTCCAAGACATCTATACCAAGAGCACCAAAAAAAAAGCAATTCAAAAGGACCTATACACACACCTATGTTCATTTGGAACATTATTTACAATTGGCAAATTCTGGAAACAAGCCAAGTGCCCAGCAACTGATGCACAGAAAAAAGAAATTGTAGACATGATCCTCATTGGGGAAAAATATTGAGGCATGGTCAAAAGAATTGTGAACTGAAGGATGTGAAGGGGATCAGCAGGCCTTGGGATAGAGCCACCCTGGGGATCTCAGCTCTCTAGTGGTGGAAACTAGCAGCACTATAAGTAGGACAATAAGAGTATTGTCATATATATATTATGTATACATGGCACATATCTGTAAATACTCCTCAGATAGATAAATTGGGAAGAGGTGATTGTTCCCAAAGGTTTTCTTCTTTCAAAAGGAAAAATAATAAAAAGCAAAGCCTTTTCCCTTTGAAGGAAGATCTGTGTTAGAAGACCTTCTAGTACAGAACGGTTTGGTAGGGAGATAGCAAATGGGATCTGTGAGGTCAGAGGGCATGAGGCAGGATGGAGAAGGGTAGGCCATGTTAATTGACTCCCTAGAAGCAAGGCTCCAAGCCAGGCATCTCTCATGACTTATGCTTGTGAAACACTTCAGGAGGTTTATGACAACAGCCCCATCCCCTTCTGCAAGGTCTCTCCTTTGTCATTGCCAGGGGGCGCAAGTCTAGGTGACTCATAGGTGACCCATGGGACAATTCCAGCTCATTATGCAATCATAATACTTTAACTTATCAAAGTCACACCCACCAGCACTGTGACCTCTACACTTACCATGGCAACCCACCATGTGGCCGAATATGCTCAGAACCTCAGACTCCAAGTTTTCCGACCCATTTGAGAAGAGAGTGTGAGGGGCTAGGAAAGGGAGTGCAGAAACTATGAAAAGAGGCCAAACAAAGGCAGCATTGGTGTTCCATCAGGGACTCCTACTCCCTGTACCTGCAGCAGTGACTTTACTACTTTATCTTTTCGCTTAAATAAATATTTTACTTTAACGCACCCCAACTAAATAAAATAAAATATCTTCATTTACATAAAATAAAATTTTTCAATCACAACTACTTGATTCGCTCAAGAAAGCAGTTGAAAAGGAGGAAGCATTCTCACCATATAATCTTGGGTCAGTTCTGAAAGCAACCAACCTTGATTCTTGTATAGTACTGGGGACATAGTACTGGGTGACTAAGAGAACATGTTTGGAGGGAGGGAGATAACACGATGGTTTGCTGAGTTCTAGTTAGTCCCTTCGAACAGTGCTTTTTAACTTTGGCTGTACTAAGCAGTCATGCCTCAGTTGGCCTGAGATGGATCTGAGAATCTGCATTTCTAAAAGTTTTTAGATTTTGTAGATGCTTCAGGTTAAACTTATAATGTAGCTAGATATTAAAAAACAGGTTCATGGTTGGTAAGTGAAAGTACATATTGCTTCCTATTTTTTTCTCTCCAAGTCTTTATATTAATATAAAGCACTGTGGCACTGTCCTCCTGTTGTTCATCAATTTGCTCGAATGGACACCCGCAATGTCTCCATGATGAGACTTGTTGTTACTGTTTTTGGCATATCGAATAAAGTTTATAATTAAAATTAATTTGCACTAAAATCCCTCTAAGAAACTCTAAGAATGAGGCTAATTTTTCTTAAAAAAATGTGTTATAGTAGACCAAATTATCAGTAGTATTTTATATGATGCTACATACAATTTGACGTAAATAATTTTTTTTTTTTGCTTTGGTACCACACTGGGACGTGCTCGGGACTTCCTTCTGGCTCTGAGGTCACTGCTGGTGATGCTTAGGAAAACATATGGGGTGTTGGGTATTGCACTGAGGTTGGCCATGTATAAGGCAAATGTCCTACCTACTGTGCTATGACAACCCATAACAAAATACTTTTAACATAAAAGTTAACTTTAGAAACTGGTTGGTTAATTTTCTTGCAGACTATATCATGGAATTTATTGAAGAGATAGGTGATTAGATTAGTGGAAGTTGGGGAGAGGGATATTGGGCCATTCTTGGCAGTGCTTAGGAGTTATCACTGGTGTTGTGTTCACAGGTGGTGACCATGTGGAGTGCTGGGAACATGTATGGTGCTGGGGATCAAAGCAGGCCCAGCATAGACAGTAGCACCTGATCTCCTCTGTTATCTTTTGAACACTGGAATTGATTTCTAATCATAAACATTTTAAATAAATGATAGACAAACAGTGCCTCATATATGCAACTCATTTTGGTCGGTGATAAGAACAGAAGAAACACGAGATACAAACTTGTCTGTGATGAACATTAGGTCATATACAATCTTGAAAAGAATGGTGTCTAATGTGTGAAGAGTCACAGATTGGAATTCAAATGGAGTGAAGGGAAAATGGAGGGACAAGGGGAAAGTTCTAGAGAGTCATACAGTTTGATTAGGGAAGATAATCTCAACCATTTGAGATTATATTCAAACCAGGTCTGGAATTTTTTTTAAACAGACGATTTTTTAATTTCATATAGTGAAAATTGGGAATAAAAGAGGAAAACAATAAAAGTAATTTCAAACAAAACATTTTTTTTCCCTCTGTTCACCTGAGTTTAGGCCTGGAATTTTAAGAAAAGTTCCTGCAAGTGGGAAACTTGGGAGGGTATTTTTGTGAGAAACGAATGTGTCTCTAAGAAAACACAAGCAATGTTATGAAAATGAATGGGAGAGGTGACTATTAACACACATACACATATAATGGAGGATAGCAGATAGGGTAAGTGGGGGGGGGGATAGCTCATTCAATCTCATTGATCCTTTGACTTGGGTACTGTTAACTATTTTTATTTTACAAAGGATAATGAACATTAGAGGCAGCATAATTTTGCCGAGATCTCATAGTGGTAGAACTGTGAATTCAAGTCTACTCTGCTTGTCATTATGTGTTACCAA